TTTCTATTAAATCAAGCTAAGCTCCCTCTTTGAGTTCATCTAATAGTTTTCTCAGATCGGTGGTCATTAGCATCTGGTGTCATTGCACTTTGAAGATGCTGCGCAAACAGCATTGTTAGAGGCTGTTCAAACGAGCAATATTTCAGGACGAGAGATATTTCGAGACTATATATGACAACCGCGGATACGGTTTTCAGTACTGTTCTTCGTATGTGTTTTTCTAGAACGATCCTCCTTCCGTCAATCCAGTTCGTTGATTTTGATACGGATATCAGTGTTTATATTTTCAGGCTCAGGAGACTTTAAACGATAGAAATGATCGCGTTCCTGTCATGTCAGCCTGAATCAGACTTATCATTTGTATATGCTTTTTCAGTGCGAAAACATTTTTACAAATACTGTAGCGAAATGTAATGAATAATCAAATTAAGTAAATTGACCTTATATTAATTCCTAAAGAAAAACGTTTAAAAAATATTATGAAAACGTCATGAGTACAGTAAGTTTCTGTACAGTTGATAAGAGCCATCTTAATTTTAAGATATTTCAGCCTTCCTGTTCTACCAACGTGCTGGTGGCTGCAAATGTACCCGTGGTACCTCTCGAGAAGGCGAATCCACTGGAGCCATCTCAAAAGTAGGCATTTTAGCTTATCCTGATTTTACATATTTGTTTTGTATTCTGAGATTATACATTAATACAAACATTTTTTGTGAATTTGAATATGCACTGTGCGCATTCCATTTAAAATCGCCGTTTTTTTTGTTGCTGAGTTATTCAACGCATCGACACATTTGATTTCAAACGCCAGCTTTTCATAACATTTCTTCGCTTGAACATCGTCCTGACAAATTTTGTCTGCGATCTTAAGTGAGGATACTTATGTTTCCGGGCTAATATCATCAGCATATATGCATTTGAAGGATGATATGGCCGGAAGGCCATTGATATAGATGGTGAAAAGGCTGATGGTACTAGGGAACCGCAGAAACCGAGGAGTGAAACGACTGTTTCTCCTTTATTAATTTGCAATCTAGTTTAAATATGCTTAAAGTGGAAATAGTAGTAGTGATCAGTACTAATAAATACGTACCTAAAAATCAGATGAATACTGCGTTTACTTTCTGTTTGTTCCTGTTTCATTTGTGAAACTTTTCGCAGAAATATACATGATTTATACGTCAATTTGAGCCAGTCTGTACCATATTTCTTGAAAGATATATACTTCAAATCTTATTTTGCATTTTTTAGGGTAGAGACTGCATCACAAAATTATGACATTGCTGACCTGAGTTCGGGAGATGAAACAGATGACGAAGAAAAACCAAAGAAGCGAGTACCTTCGTGGGCTACAGGTATTTATATGACTGACTTTTTTAAACTAAAAACATTTGATGCAGGTGAACAGCTTAAAGCGCGTCTCATTTACGACTACTATAATCCACCAGATTTCAACAAGATTTTTCGTATCGGTAAAGGACCGAGAAAACCGGTGGATTTAGCGGAAATTATGGGCGTGAAT